CTGGATTCAGAAAGGAACTAGGCATTGTGATGCTGAATGTTGCAATGCCCAACTTTTAGGTGCCTAGACTGTAAGCCACAAAGCCAGCACATTAAGCAGGGAAATGCCAAACCTAACCAATGTGAGATGCCCATGAGGGATGTATCCTAAACCCCACCCTGCTCTGAGTTCAGAGCCTAAATCGAGGCTGCAAGGAGGCACTTATCTCTGCTAGCAATTCACAACCAGGAATCCTCCTCCTGGAGTCAGGCTGTTTAGGCACCTAAACTAAGCTGTTTCTCTGAGAAAGAACTAGACAGGCACACAAAACAGCAGCAGGAGGTGGTGGTGATGTCACTGCCTTCTTTATAACTTTTAGCTCAGTGTTTAGCACACTCACCTGGGATGTAGGAGTCCCCCTTTTCAAATCCCTTCTCCCTCTCTGCCTGAGGGGGGAATTGAACTCCCCTCTCCGACATCCCAAGCCAGTGCTCTAACCACTGCACTAAAAGTTATGTGGTGGGTGAGGATAGCGCACCCATCTCAGCCAGCCAGATTTTGAATGGGACCTGATCCAGTAGGCAGGCTTTGAGCATGCCTACTAGATCAGGCACTATACATAGGCATTCACCCACCTGTCTTCTCTCTCCTGTTCGTGAATCGGTCTGGAGCGTATGCAGGAGATAAGCCTAGAGTAAGGCAGCAATGCACATGCTCAGAAAGGCAGAAACTGTGAATTTAGGCACTTACAGAGTTCGTCAGGAGTTTTGTGAATCACAGTGGAGCTTAAAACTGAGGCACTTAAGTCTGAAGTTTAGGTGCTTAAGTATCTTTGTGAATCTAGCCCTAAGTCTCTATAATGTGGCCATACTATGGAGTGTACATGCCTGGCTAGTTCAGATCTTGCTAAGAATGTCATCCTCCCTCTTTCCAAAACATTTCTCCATATTGTCAGCAAATCTATCCCTTACAGCAGACACATGCATACTCTTGCACTGATCAGCCACTGATGTAAGGTGGCTGTTTTAAGCAGATATAACATTTCCCCCCTTGAGCGCTGATTGGCTCAGCTATCAGATGAGTAAACAGGGAATGACCTTCCAGGTGTGTTGCCTACAATGAAAATATCCTATACAGCTGCAGAAACAAATGCAGAACATGTCTAGTAACTGCCACACCCTGTTTCTGGGCCAGGTGATCAGCCCAGCACTCTGCACCTGTGCTGAGACACAACATCACAATGTTTTAAGTGAGCTGAAAATATTTTTCTTGTAGCCTATCAGACCGTGTCCTCACTCCTTTGTGGACAGGACAGCGATGGGCTCATTATGATGGTAATATTAATGTAAGAAAGGCGCAAGAGAGAATGCTGGGTTTGTAAGTTAAATTTTCCTGAGAGCACACAGTAAGAGATAAGGTTTACATCATGTTTGGTTAGCGAGCTGGTAGAGGATGAGATCAAAAAGGAATCTTTACAGTTTAAAGCATGAAAAATGTGGGTCAACTGGTTAACTCTAATGAGACAAGAGTGCCACCATTTCACATTCATTGCTTATAGAGGTGGCCTAACTGTACAGTGATCAACACCCTTTGTGTGCACAGCAGGATCTACCATGCCACTGTCAGGCCTTCGATCTCCTCATCACAAAAGATGTCTTGACCAGCACAGGGCAGACAGAAGGAGTGAGATCAGCTTAAATTTGAATCTTAAACCACATATCAATTTTGGTCTTATAAAATTTAAATCTCTGTGAAACATTATAAAGGCTTTTCTACATAGGCAGGGCCGGCTCTAACTTTTTTGCCGCCCCAGGCAAAAAAGAAGAGAGCCGCGCCGCTCCACCGTACCGCCCCCCGCGAGCGCCGCCGAAATCCCCGCCCCCCCAGCACCACACCACCCGAAGCCCCGCCCCCTCCAAGCGCCCCGCCGCCCGAAGCCCCCGCCGAGCGCCGCGCCAGCCCCCGCGCCCCCAAGACCCCGTCCCCCAAGCACCACGCCACCCAAAGCCCCCGCCCCCCCGAGCGCCGCCCGAAGCCCCTGCCCCCCATCCGAGCACCACGCCGCCCGAAGCTCCGCCCCCCCGAGCACCACGCCGCCCGAAGCCCCCAACCCCCCTCCGAGCGCCGTGCCACCGAATCAAAAAAATAAATAAATAAATAAAAAATCGAGCGCCGTCCTGCCCCAAGGTGCCGCCCCAAGCACGTGCTTGGTCAGCTGGTGCCTGGAGCCGGCCCTGTACATGGGGCAACCCTCAGGAAAGTTAAGATGAGAAGGCGGCAAGCAGTGGAGCACTTTGGACTTAAAAAATGAAATGTGAGTTGCACCTGAAGTATACAAAACTTTTAAAATGTTCAAGCCAGATCAAAGACCTGATGCTTAATAATGTTTTGGGGAAGGACTCCTGCAATCTTCCATGATTGCTCTGACTGCCATTGTCAAAACTAAGGACACTTGTCTGGAAGTAAAGAGCGTCCCCATAGAGGTTTAATGTGCTATAATTTATGTGCATTAAATTCACACCTTTAGTGTGTCCATGTAGATGCTTCCTTAGTAAGTAAAAAAAAAAGGGAATAAGGGAAATTTGGGGGAGCTCTTTTAATTTTTTTAGTTTAAAATGCTTTAATTAGTCTTCCATAACACCCACAGAAATTGCAGATATTCAGGGGCAATTACCTCCAATGGCAAAGGAGCAGTGTTACTCTTATAATCGCTATCAGAGTTAAAAGAACAGGAGTACCTGTGGCACCTTAGAGACTAACAAATTTATTAGAGCATAAGCTTCCGTGGGCTACAGCCCACTTCTTCGGATGCATATAGAATGGAACATATATTGAGGAGATATATGTTCCATTCTATATGCATCCGAAGAAGTGGGCTGTAGCCCACAAAAGCTTATGCTCTAATAAATTTGTTAGTCTCTAAGGTGCCACAAGTACTCCTGTTCTTTTTGCGGATACAGACTAACACGGCTGCTACTCTGAAAGCTATCAGAGTTGTCAAACTATGAACAACATCTGCATTTAACATTTGAGTCAGTATTATAGTCTGTCTCCTGAATGCTAAGAAAGTGTTTTTACCGCAGAATAACTAACATGCATTAGCTATCCCACTGTAAGAACATAGGAGACATGGCACTGTACTTTCACCAAAAGGCAAAATAGGTGAGGTAAGCGCTGTGCTCCCCTCCCAAATAATGCAAAGGAGTGACAGAATAATTAATTTAAAAAAACCTCTTCGATTTTGGCAGTACAAAACAGTAAACTTGTCAGAATGAAGCTCATCATTGAAATGACGCATAACAATGTCGCATATAAGAGGATATAAAATTAAAATGCAATTAGAAATAAACAATTCAGTAGAAAAAAATGTATGCAACAAGTGAAATAATAGAAGAGTAAGTATGTATTTCAGTATTTGCAGGATGAAGGATTACTTACACAGATAAGGATCTGTAATAAATTTTCAATTAAAGTGTGTGGGGGGAGGGGGGAAAAACCATGTCCAAATGGTATTGAATATTATAAGAACGTATTAGGTATAGGGATTCTTTCGGAGAGGTAATAATACATGCATGTAGCTAGTGCACCCTAAAGCCTCTTAAAACAAAAAGGCAAGAAGAACTGAACATTTATTTATTTAATTTCATAACTTTAGAGTGCATAACACATTTTTTAATTCTTGTGGTTGTCAATCTTGGTTGTGTATCTATGTTTAGTAAAAATTATAGTAGAAATTTGCCTTTGCAAAGGATTTCATAGAAGATAGCATGATATCCTTAGGCCAGATTTTTAAAGGTATTTAGGTGACTAGTGGGATTTTCAAAAGCATCTAGGTGCTTTCAACCTGGCCTTTAGTGAATACTTGGGAACAAAAGTTATACACACAAGTAATGACATGGGAAAAAGCACTAGAATGTTGCCCAGAGAAGCAAAATAAATTGACAAAGGCAATCCCATTGGCAGATCAAAGGAAAATGAAGGAAAATTTGACACCAACCCAGAAACTCGGTCAGCCTTTAAGTTTTATAATCCTAAAGAATAAACTTGAGTTATAGAAGAACAAAAATGTAGAATTAAAAGTTGTAATTACAAAATCACAATAAAAACAGGAACTGTTTATACTAGAAACAATGTGACGGTATTGCCGAAGCTACTAGCAACTACAAATATTTTCAATTATTATTTGCTATTAAAATATAAATTAAATAGCACACTGCCATTCCTCTGCACCATGTTTACAAAGGTACACGATGAAGAGTAATAAAAACAACAATTTAAAATGTAAATAAAGGAGACCCTACAGTTACAGGGGACTGCCTGAGTGGGACTTTCCTTGTCATGAGAACAGTGAGCCAAGCCACGTCTGTCAATTGGGATGAGGCTTTATTTATGCAGCCCTATAAACTAACTGAGAAGGGATTATTTTAAAAACACTACAACGATGTATGTCAATTACAGGGGATGGGGGCAGCGATTTGAAAAATACCCAAGCCAGTTCCCTTTAGCAGCTCGGCACAGAATTGCCCTGTGCCTCTCCTCCCCCGCCCCTGCAACCAGTTCCCCCCATATGTGCCACCTCCCTGCCCTGGGCCGGGCACCAGACGGGGAGCCCCTGGGACCCTCCCTCCAACAAGCCCCCCCGAGGGGGGCGCAGTCGCTGCCGGGCTGGGACTCACCTGGCGGCACAGGCGGGGTCGCCCCGTTCCGGCCGGGCTGTGGCGGAGCCAGCGGGGCGGTGGCGAGCGCGGCTCGGCCGGCGAGTTTCCGGGCGGGGGAGAAAGTCGAAACCCGCGTAAGGGGAGGAGGCAGCGCAGCCGCTCAGGTGTCTGCGCCCGGCCCCTGCTCCCGCCTAGCAACGGCTCCCGGCCCCTCCCCGCCCGGCCGGGGGCACCTGGCACTGTGCTGCTGCTGCCGCCCGCTCCCCAGCGCCATGCCGGCACCCTTCGCTTCCCCGCTCCCCTCTGCCCAGCCCCGGGCATGCGGCACCCTGGGCTCCCCCAGCTCGCGCCCCGCCGAGGTACCTGACAGGCACCAACTCCTGCCCGGTGCCCCGCTTCCATGCCGCGCGCACCCGCCGGCCTGGCACCGCGCGCTCAAACTTGGGCACGGTGCCCCTCCCCCTCCGTCGGCTGGTGTCACTTTCCGACGCGCGCACCGCTCGGACACACCCGGCGGAACAGCCGGAGCACCTGGCGAGGCCCGCCTGAGGGGGTGGGCCCCAGGCGCGGAGCCCGCAGCCCCAGCTAGGCTTCCCCACAGCTCAGCGACGAGGGGGGTTGGGCAGCTCGGGTTTTCCTCTCAGCCCCTGTCTAGAGTAGGAGGACAGAAGGCTCAGTCACCACTCAACCTAGCGCCTCTCCCTCTGGGGGATTCCTCTGCCACTCCCTGTCTTTCCTCTCTCCTGGCAGTTGGCAGCCAGAGGGGAGAGGGAGATGTGCCCTGCAATTATATCCAGGTGGTTTGCTGCCCTGTGCCTATGCAAATACCACTCTGTCCAGTCTCCCCTCCTCAGGGAAGGAATAGAATGTCCTTACACTGCTGCCACTCCCAAAAATGTGCCCTTTTATTATCCTGAATGGAAGAAAGAAGATTGGCCTGAGACCATAGAAAGTCACTGCACGCATAAAACGGGGGCCCATAAAGTCTGCATAACAGTGTGAAATCTGTCCCCACTTTAAATCCTACTTCCATTGTGGGGAGTCAGTAATTGGCCAATGAATAATGCATAGGCTGAGAAGCAGTTGGATGTCACTGTTCAGCTTGTATGAGTCTGGCCAAATGTAAATAAAAATTATACATATTTGGGCTGTATCCCTCTCCTCCTTCCTTTATATGTTGCTTGTCTTCTTAATCCCCAGTCCTTTCAATGGGACTGTTTGTAGAGCGTAAAATTAAACTCATGCCAACTAAGCACCTGCCATTTTTGCAGGTTGGAGCCTTAGAGTTAAGCTGTTTAGTACAGGGACTGTGTCTTCATGTCTGTGTGTGCTGACAGGTTTCTAGGGCAGTGCTTCTCAACGGGTCCCCAGCCCCTTGGGGGGCTATGAGCAGGTTTCAGGGGGTCTGCCAAGCAGGGCCGGCGTTAGATTTGCTGGGATCTAGGGCAGAAAGCCCAAGCCCGAGCCTTGCCACGCAGGGCTGAAGGAGCTGAAGCCAAGCCCCACCGCATGGATGGAGGGGCTATGTTGCTGTACAGGTCTCCTGGGTGGCTGGCTAGCTGGTGGAGGGGCTGGGGCTGTGCAGGTCAGCCATGACATGAATGAAAACAAAGTGACCATGACATGTACACGTGCTTGTTGAAGATACCCCTCACGTCCTGACAACTATTGATCAGCACCAGCAACAAGATTCAGACTGAGTAAGTAAACCAAAAATAATATTCACTTTTTTATTTTTGTACCTATATTATCCTTTTCTTTTTTATATTCTGTATGTATGTGTTTAACTGTATGACTATCAATTTAATACAGTTTTTAATCTACTGGATATGCATAAAAACAGTTGTGGCACAGGTGGGCCATGGAGTTTTTATAGCATGTTGGGGGGCCCAGAAAGAAAAAGGTTGAGACTGCTGTTCTAGGGTATTCTCCAGGTGCCTAGCACTGGCTTGATTTAACTTTTAAGGTTGTCTCTAATCCTGCCTCCTTGATTCTTAGACCATCATCTGATATATTTAAACTACCTATGTAAAAATTCCACCAAATACTGTGAAAATGTATGAATCCTTTAGCTTTTTAAGATTGGGGAAAAGGTGATTGATTGGCATATGCCACTTTTACCCAGCTGTACTCAAAATACTAGATGAAAGAGAAGAAAAAAGAGGCTCTTAATAAAGCTGGTTGAAAAAATGCAGAACAAATTTTGTAAATTACCTTTGCTGAAATTTCAATTTGTTGACACCTTTCAGCCATACTAAAAGTTGGTCATAAACAGCAACATTTAAAAAAATGTTCATGGAAGTTTCTGAAAATTCAATAATTTTCAAACGGCTCTTGTTCTTAATTTGGTGACAGAGCATATCCTAAAAGTCTGTGTCTATACTAGCCAATTTTGTGATCATTTGTCAGCTCCAGGGCAGCTGTATCATTGTTAGTAACAGTTCAAACTCTAGTGTAGACAGGGTTCTGGGGGTTCCAGTGTTGTGTCCTGGAAAATCAGAGCAGGGTTTCAGGAGGCAATGCTGGAAATGCCTGAATCCTGCCTGCACTAGTACTGAGGAACTGGCACTAAATTTGCTAATGTAAACCCTGTCAAAGAGACTAATCCTTTAACTACCACCAGTATTACCACTCTGCTACAGTAGGTTTAGATGAGATTTAGGAAAAAAGACGAGATCTAGGAAAAAATCTTGCTACAGAGAGGAAGGATAGCCTTTTAGTTAAGGCACAGACACCCAGGAGATCTAGGTTCCGTTCCCAGCTCTGTCACAAACTTATTGTGTGACCTTCAACTGTTCACTTAATCTCTCTGTGCCTTGGTTCCCCATCTGTTAAAATGGGGATAATACTGCTTACCTCCCTGGCAGGACAGGGTTATGAATGGAGGTTGTTGGGAATATTCTAACAAAATGTTTTTTTATCTGACTATGCCAATTGGTTGAAACCAAAATGTCTCACAGAAATATATTGGTTTCAGAGTGGTAACTTTTGTCAAGCCACAGACTGGATTTTGACAGAACCCTGCCTGGTTTTCTGCCAGCTCACTTGGCAGGCTTCTGGGGAACTCAGGCTTTCAGGGTCCACAGCTTCAGGGTAGTCCTAACAAGTGAGCTGCCCTGGTGCCAGGGATCCCCGAGCTTCCAGGGTCCCTGGCTCCATGACAGCTCGATCATGCAGCCTGCTCTTCAGCCAAGGACCCCAAGGCTTTCAGGTTCCCTGCCACAGAGTTGGGATCCTGAAGTCTGACTGTCCCAGTTTGAGATGGAGCTCTCAGGGTTTCTACGTTCCCTGCTTCGTGGCGGGGGATTCCCCTCACTCAAGGGAAGCTGAAAATTAAACAAAAACTTTTTCAAAGTGTCAGAATTCCTGTGGAATGGAAATCCTGAGTTTTGAGCAGCTCTAGTCATGTGGTTACATTCAAGAATTTATCAGAGATTCTCACATAACACAGAGATGGATCTATAGTATACAACATATAATGAATGTGCACTAAGACCCTTCCCTCTTTATCTTCAGAACATTTCTGCGAATCCACCTGTTCCACAAGGTATGCCAGCAACAATCTTTTGTTCACCAAACTGTACCCAAACTTGTTTTTTTAGACTGTAAGCTCTTGGGGGTACTTTTTGTAGGGGTCAAATGAGAAAGCTGGTTTTGCAAAACCACTTCTGTCAGGTTTCGGATATACAAAATCAGTACCTGGGGAAGATCTGGGTTTAATTTTATCTGAAATACCAACGTTCAAGGGGATAGAGAAGGGTAGTTCACATAGAAAGCTCTGGTTTTGGTGTATTTCTGTTTTATTATTCAGCAGACTTACCAGTTGCAAGGCACATGTTTAGATATCTCACTATATACATAATTTGATTTAATGCTGCAGCTTGCCCCTATTACCCCCAACCCCATTTGTGGATGTTCTGCATGGATCATGGGGTGGTGGAGTGGCTGAAGGAACAGCCATTTTCCATTGCATCATCCCACTGCACCCCAAACCGCACAGAGCATCCCATCTTAAGATCATCCTACAACAATTCATGTTCTGTCTAGGCCCCATCACCATAGTATTGAAGTGGTCTGAACCACCTGTGAAAGGGCCTTAGGAACAGAGGCCAGTAGTGATCCATGGCAGCACAGCTCCAGGAACCATACTGCCTCATGAACTGGAGGGACCTGTAGACCCTGCGGAGGCACGGGGTATCTATAGAAACATAGAATTATAGAAATGTAGGGCTGGAAGGGATTGCAGGAGGTCATCTAGTCCAGCCCCCTGCATTGAGGCTGGACCAAGTATACCTAGTCTGCTACCACATGCCCTAGAATGAGGAAACCTTGTCTGTGTTTGCCATGGCTCAGCTCCCCAACTCCACCAGCCATGGCCAACACAAGCACTCCTCTCTAGGCATTGTCAGCCCCACCGTTACTTTACAGGTTAGCAATAGGCATGCTCCAACTCTTGTGCCCTCCTAGTGTCTCCCTTGAGTGTCCAGCCCCTGGTCCACTGGACACTCGCAGTATTCACAAATTCACTGCTTCTAAAGAAACAGTACACCCAGCTAACTAATTCCACCTCAGATCACCATTCCACTTAACACACAACACTTAGATGTTTATAGTGAAATCAAGTATAAGTTATTTAAACAAAGCAAAGAGATTCAAATAATAACAAGTAGATATATTGGGGTCGGTCCTGGGACCGGTTTTGTTCAACAGCTTTATTAATGATCTGGATGATGGGATTAATTGCACCCTCAGCAAGTTCGCAGATGACACTAAACTGGGGGAAGAGGTAGATTGATGGAGGGTAGGGATAAGGTCCACAGTGACCTAGACAAATTGGAGGATTGGGACAAAAGAATTCTGATGAGGTTCAACAAGGACAAGTGCAGAGTTCTGCACTTAGGACGGAAGAATCCCATGCACTGCTACAGGCTGGGGACCAACTGGCTAAGCAGCAGTTCTGCAGAAAAGGACCTGGGGATTACAGTGGACGAGAAGCTGGATATGAGTCAGCAGCGTGCCCTTGTTGCCAAGAAGGCCAATGGCATTTTGGTCTGTATTAGTAGAAGCATTGCCAGCAGATCGAGGGGAGTGACTATTCCCCTCTATTTGGCACTGGTGAGGCCACACCTGGAGTATTGCATCCAGTTTTGGTTCCCCCACTACAGAAGGGATGTGGACAAATTGGAGAGAGTCCAGCGAAGGGCAATGAAAATGATTAGGCGTCTGGGGCACACGACTTATGAGGAGAGGCTGAGGAAACTGGGGTTATTTAGTCTGCAGAAGAGAAGAGTGAGGGAGGATTTGATAGCAGCCTTCAATTACCTGAAGGGGGGTTCCAAAGAGGATGGAGCTAGGCTGTTCTCAGTGGTGGCAGATGACAGAAGAAGAAGCAATGGTCTCAAGTTGCAATGGGGGAGGTCTAGGTTGGATATTAGGAAACACTATTTCACTAGGAGGGTGCTGAAGCACTGGAATGGGTTACCTAGGGAGGTGGTGGAATCTCCATCCTTAAAGGTTTGTAAGGCGCGGCTTGACAAAGCCTTGGCTGGGATGATTTAGTTGGTGTTGGTCCTGCTTTGAGCAGGGGATT